TTCGCAACTGACAGGCTCAGATTGTTATTCTAAGTGTGTGAGAACATTATGAGAAGGACCCTACATAGATAGACCTTTTTGTGAAAGAGTAAGATCCTTTTTGTTTAAACAGAAACAGCCACAAAATCGCTATCATCAAACCCACCAGACTCCATTCAAATAACCAGTAATTTTATCTTCATTAAACACACTTCATTTGAAGTTGAAAGAAGCAAAATAAAACTCCCAAAGCTCTCTTGATTCCTGTTTCCACTGACCAACAATCACCAACTTTAGTTTGGTTGAAAATGATCCTGTATTCAGCCAGTCAGAAGTGAAAATACGATGGTTCCATACACCCTTAAATCTCTGTTTATTTAAATAGAATCTGGTGGGTTTGGCGATGTTAATTTTGAGTCTGTTTCTGGTTAAACGAAAAGGATCTTACACTTTAAGAAAAAAGTCACTCTCTTTAGGAATCATTTCCATAACATTGTCAGTGCCAAAAATAAGCACTTCTAGTGGACATAAATTGACAGAGCTCAATTGCCCACAGGTATTGCATTGCAATTTGTTTCATGGCTGCCAGCTGTAGTGTTCTTGCTCAATACAGAGCCAATTACAAAAAAATGTTGTGCCCATAATTTACTAACAAAACCAGTGGAAAATAGGGCCCAGGAAGGGAAATACTGAACTCACCCATTAAAGCTATTGAAAACTTTATCTAAAGTATTTTTTGATAGCTTTGGATATTAATGACTAAATAGACAACACCAAGATTGAAAACATATTTCAAGGTATTTTTTATTTATCATTTATTAGCTTAAAAGACCAACCCGGACTAGTGCACAGAGGTCCGTCAAATGGCCTTGTTCCATCTGGGTCAACTAAGGCGAATGAGTCACCCCAATTTTAAACTAATGAGAGCACAGAGGGAGAGAAAAGAATTACAGAAATCTGTCATATGAAATAAAGCTGTTCTACCATTGGCAGAAAATAAAAATTGTGTTTATGGAGATCTCATCACTGATAGTAAGAGGCTGATTGAGAAAACACACTTTTAGATTTGGAATTTGAAAGTGATTATGTAAACAGGTATTTTTATGTACATTTATTAAGAGACAATTGAATAATTCAGAACTTTTCATCTCATTGTCTCATGTTTTATTTTTATTTTGTGACACATAGAGGCACTCATGCAGATTGCTGCTTTTGCTGTGTCCACAGCATGCACCAATAAAAACCAATAACTTCTGAGAACTGTCAGTCAGAATTCAGGAATTGTTTTCACCAGCTGTGGTTAGCTCTGCAAAGTTGTCTTGCTATTTTATGCAGTATTCAGACTCCATCTTCAGCTGAACCTATTGAATTGTATTGAACCTGAGCAAGCGCTGCAAGTTTTCCCGCCATACAATACCCATTTAAGGATTCATACTGATGAAGGCTAAAAAGGCTGTTTGCAAAATGGTAATACATTGTGAGTAGTATCCCAGCAGGCAGTAATGTTATGGCAGTGCTGTGTTGTATAATGGCTGTATAGCTGCAGCTGTCAGAAGCTCAGACTTCTATGGCTACATTTACATCCCGATTGTATTTCAAATATTAGTTCATGTCACACTTGAAGTGCTTTTCATAATAGGTGTTTATATTACAGTTCATTTAATAGAGGTTTGAAATGTTTCCACCGCTAAGTCAATTATTGGTTTAATTTAGCAGACAATAATTGAAATTTTGTATATTTCAATATTCTACATTTTTCTCGGTGTAAGGGACGTTTTTTCTGCAGGCTGTACAGACTACCAACTCAAAGCTATTGAATGAAATACCTTCAGACAATTCAGCCCTCTGAGATAGAAATAATAAAACACGCTGTCTAGCTGTGGTCAAGGGGGACATCCATCACTCTGGAGCTTGACAGCAGTGACTGGCTGGTACTTTATTCTGATTAAACAGCAAACCAATAAAGTGCTACAGCCTTAGTCTGTATACAGAATGTGACTTTAATAATCCCCTCAAGCAAGGTAAGTTCTTATCCCAGCTATTATGATTATTTTTTTTTATCATTTTGCTCTCATTACTCAATCACAGCACATATGCGACATGTTAAAAAAAATACAGCCAGATTTTGATCTGTCAGCCAGATGAGCAAGCAGGAAACCTCTCCAAATCCACAATTGTAATTATAATACCTCATGTTCAGCTTTGCACAAAGGTTACCTGGTCAAACTATAATAACGGTACCTTCATGTTTTCTTCTGGTCCAAAGATTAAATGCAATCATCTTTTTTATCATGAAAAATGTAACTGTTCAATGCTGTCTGGATGGCAGATGGCGTCGTGATTGCAATTTATTCATGTTATGTAACAAATTGGGTTTCTGGACTACTGAGCGAGTCAGATCACAGCAGAAAGTTCAAATGATCATATTATAGGACGGCTTTGAGCATCTTTCCTAAGATAAAACTAGTTTATGGACAAGAATTCAATTTTGGTACAAGGTTTGGTACAGAAATAAAAAAACGATTTAAACCATATAAAGCGTTCAATATTAAATAACCAATTAAGACGTGAAATAAATAATCATATGAATACACAAGTCAAATTACAATATCAATAAATTATTACATAAATTCACACTTTTTAAAACTCATTATAATTTTAACATGCCCATTTCTTAAAATTCCGTTTCAATTTCATAATGCCAGTTTTCATGACGGTGTAGTTGTCAACAATGTTTACACCCTCAGCCGATCACATGTGCCCTCAACAAAAGGTTCAGACTAAACGATATCAGCCCGATTATAGCCCAAGCCGGCTGTCGTAGGGTGTCAGCTCGGATCGGGAACAACAATAGGTGTCAGCTGTGTCAATCCATCGTTTATCCCGTGGAGTGTGTCATGGCAATGACAACTAACACCACGTCTGGGAGGCCTCACGACTTCCCAACAGAAAGACTAGCTTGTTCAAATTGTTTTTGCCTTCCAAGTTGTATTCCCTTTACAGCAGCAACTTTGATCATTAGGGGCACAGAGAGAGCTTCTTCATCTCTTTTGTAATCATGGCGAAGCGAAAGTGGAGTGATGTGAAAGATAAAGATAGAGATAGAGATGTTGTTGCTGCTGCAAGTGGAAGTGTGAAACAGAGAGAAGGTTAGTCGTTTTTCTTTCTCTTTTTTGGCTTTTCCAAAAACAAGACAGCCAGCATCATAGCCTACTCATTGCTATGTCTAGTCTCAACCTGGCACACAATCCCATAATACAATACACTGCTCATTATAAAGTAAACTACTGTCAGGAGTAGTGAATTATTAAACCAGGGAGTGATTTTGGATAGCCATAGAGCAAACACTGAACTGATCAGCTGGTTGATACTGCTATCATTTGCTCTTCAATTTATATGTAGATAATAAATACAAGCTCATAAGCCAATCAAGATAGGCAACATGTGAGTGTTTTCAAGCTAAATAAAAGGTGAGGTTAGTAATTTAAGCAATGTCACATGAGAGGGAGTGCTGCAGTACAGAATATCGGCATGGCTGTGACTCTATCGTAGGAAGATAATCACTACCACCGCAAACACAAATAGTTGGACTGGGACTGCTAAGCAACACATAAACATTCCTGCAAACTACCTTGCTACTTTGTGTAGCTCTACACGTTACCGCAGGCCATGTGCATTAATCTGTATGTTTCAATTCATTATGCAGCCACTGCTGCCAGTTGATTGCTGACAGTGGCTTTGAGGGTACATGTGTGATGAGCTCAATCAGACAGTATACCGCAACATCTTCAGGCTTCTTTCTGTCCCTTTGTCCTTTGACCAATCATTATTTAACTCAAATGTTATTTGTGGAAATGTGTTCTTTACAGTGCAAAGTTTGTTAGGATGACACTTAATGTTCTCTAATTAACAGTTAATGTAAACAGAATCAGAACACGGGTAAAGTGAAGTGATACATGTAAGTCAAAAGCCCCAGTGCTGTTATAATCTACATTAGCACTCATGGAATGCCTCTTGTCCAGTCAAATTGCTTGTCAGAACCATACACTGTATAAGCATTGCAACCGTGACGTCACCCATAGGTTTGTGGACTGCCATTTTGAAGCCTCGAGTTCAGCATTTCAGGCATCGGCATCTTGGTTTATTGGAGCCAGAAGTGACATATTAAGACGAGAGAGGGGGCTAGATTTGACTCACAGGTTGCAGAGATCGGTATTGACGCCTCACAGACAGCCTCTCAATCAAGCAGCCCCGCCTTTAAATATGTGTAACTGTGGGCCTTAATAAAAAGTACGTGGTTGTGTTATAAAAATTTCCCCCCTGTACAGTTGTCATGAATGTTGAATTAGCTATAGAGACCAAAACATTTTTTTGTACCAGGCTGGAAACATGTTTAATTCTGGTGTAAAGTTTGGCATTTTTACATGGGGGTCTATGGGGATCATTCAGTGAAATGCAGCTTTTGGCACTTCCACACTGGCTTCATTTCTCAGCCTTGGAGGTTGCCGCTTAGTTGGAACTAACTGTTGTATAATATCCTGCAGCTGTGCACTGTGTTTATTTATAGACCCAGTCCCTAGTTGGTTGATTCAGAATTAATTTAGCATTTTGGTGCCCTAACTAACAAGAGCTAGCTGGCTAAACTTGGTAACAGCTGATATGTCTGCTAAGAGGTTGGGGTCACATGCTGACTGGCTGATAGGTGAGGTGGGTGGGCACTGGTGACAACTCCACTTTCATTTAAAGTGGCATCATGAAGTTAAAGTAACATTGGGAAAATGTCTTAATGAAATATTAAGAGACTTTTTAAAAAATGTTTTTTTTGCATAAACATTTCAATAATAAAATGAGGAATTGAGTTTTAAACAAAAGTTTAAAATTTGAGGTTTGATTTGTTATTGCATTTCATTTATTCATATGATTGATTATTGTTGATTTCTTATGTATTTATTTAATATTGAACACTTTGAGATCCATACTCTCGTCGCCCCACTGCCCACTGCCCACTGTGCTTTTAGTACCTATATTTGCCATCTCAGGCACGGTGGCGCTGTACGGGCCTTCGTCAAAGACAGGCGGGTTGTCGTTGATGTCCTGCACCCGAATTATGAACTGTGACGAGGGCTCCAGGGCACGGTCTGTCTGCCTGTCGGTGGCCGTGGCGATGAGACGGTACTCGTCCTTCTCCTCACGGTCGAGCGGCTTGGTGACGTGGATGTTACCCGTCTTCTCGTCTATCACAAAGACAGAACCCGCCCCTTCGCCTCGCAGGACATACTTAGTGCGTCCATCATTCCTGTCCATGTCGGTGTGGAGCTAGGTGAGAGAGGATGGCAAGAGGGGCGAAGAGAGTGAGGAACAAAACAGATTAAATGGAGGCAATGAAGTAAAAGGAAAAACAGGGGAAATAGAAAGTGAAAAGATGTGAGAGGGAAGGACAGACAGGGACAAACAGGGTGGAAAAGAAAGACAAGAGTAAACACCAGTTAAAAATTAAGTTTGTTTTTACGAGACAGGCATTGAAGACAAAACAAGCAGATTATCCTCTGCATGCCTCCAGGATATAATGAATTTAAACGGAGGCAGACAAAAGAAATACGCACAATACCTCCCTCTCTCTCACACACTTTCCTCGCATTGTACTAGGTCTCATGTCTCTATTCCTGCAGTCTGAGCAGTTATGAACCAGGATCTCCTTGATCTCCAATGATATCCAGAACACATACTCTCCTGCTCACTCTTAAAGCCTCTATTCACTTCCCAGCAGCTGTGGAGAGCTTACTAGTCTGCGCACATGCAGTACCCTGGCTATTTAATGAAAGCACCAAATCAAAGGAATAATGAACAGTAGGCCAATCAATTATTCCCTAACTAATAGGTGTGTATAAGGGAGAGGAGAGGGGTGCATGGGAGTGGGACATGCTGTATCGATCACAGCCTTGTGTTGAGCTTTATTGGATCAGCGCCTGGCGGGATGGCAGAGCAGCAGAGCGACCAGCGTCCTCTCATGCAGGGAGAGGTAATATCAGGGAAGGCTCCACACTGTCCTCCATCCCCGACGAGAGAGACACACCAGCGGGATGCACCCAGCACATCAAGATTCAATCTCATTACCCCACACCTACGTGGATCGAATAGCAACTGTGACCAAAAAAAAAAAAGAAGAACAGTGCTAAATTAGCCACCTCTCGCAAGAAAGTGTGACATTGTGACTTTAGACGGAGAGAAGAGCAAAGAGCCGGCTGGGGAGGGGATGGGTAGGTTAGCTCAGGAAAGCATTGTTGCATGGCAACAGCTAAGCACATTTGCTAAATGAAATGAGAATGGATACTGTGAATCGAAATGTTCATTTACTGTGAGGATCGCAGTTTTGCAAGGGGGGAGAAATGGCATGGATACGCCAGCTTCCCAGGGGGTAAACGATAAGTACGGATGTTGACAAGGTTGTTTATAGCTAAGAAAGCAATCATAAGTTCAGACTATCTGCAAGTTGAAAGAGAAAATTGTGTGAACAATTTGGCGCAAAGTCAAAAGTTAAACAACACTTCACCTTGAAAACATCCCTTTATTCAAATGATGATGCAAATTGGAAAATCTAAAAGCACTCTAGCCAACATAGAGGGTGTTGTGTGAGAGCAGTGTGGTATGCACTCAGGGAACTAGAAATAGAACTTAAGCTGCTCTGAAGTCTTTTGTCTATATCCATGCATCCTGTAATGTAACTTAGGGGTCTCAGTTCTTTCAACTTGATTCATGCAAATGTATCGAACCTTTCAAACCTGTTGAGTTTTAATACTTTTTGTACTATAATGGAGTGTCACAAAGTATGGTCACACCATACTTTGTGACACTCCATTATAGTACAATCACATACGACAGCTAGTGCTGCCCGTCGGACAAAACTTGTCTTCAATGCATTACCAGTCATCATGTACATGTTGACATTGGTAAAGATAAAATATTTATTTTATGCATTGATTCAGAATCCCTCTTGTATGAAGGTGGGCTGTGTAAGCTCAGTATGATGTTACATAAAGGTCACTGACCAACGATCTCTCCTCCTTGAGGGAAATGTAGCAGACGTCTCAGATATATCAGCCTTGTGCTGCATTTATGTGGTGTCGGAATAATCTGAAAAATTTGTCCACTGTTAAATTTCATGTCTCAACTAAATGGTTTCTTTCGCTCTTCATCATCAATGTTTTCTTTAAATGCTCTGAGCAATAAATGCTCAGTAGCGTCAATGTTGTTTCAACATTACAATTTGATGCTGATGAACACACCGAGGTTGGAAGAACAACCATCCAAGAATCACGTGAATACAACATTGGCCTTGAGTGGTGGTCTCCACTAAATTCTGGTTTAACACGTCTTGTTCACTCACCATAGCAGGCGGTGTAAGGCAGTACCCTATCAGAACAGCAAGTGGGAAAGACGGGGATTCATGAGCACTCAAACCTACAACAGGCTGACCAGGTACATACAGAACAAAAAGAGTCATTTAAAAAAATGTGTTTGTTCATTTTCACCCATCACTAATGTTCATGTTACCTCTGTTCCTATTTATAGTTAGCTAATAGTTAGCCTGTGGAACTATTGTGTCATTAACTGAAGTGACCATGTGTTTAATTCACAATTCACCTAACATCTTTTACTGTAAATACCAAACATTTACCACTGTAAGCTTAGAAATGTGAAAACATCCAAGCTATATATTTCATATTATATATATATATATTATATTATATATATTTCAACCAAGATACAGCTATACATTGCTTTTATGTCAAAACCCGTACACAGCTCTGCGGTGCTCATGAGCAGTTGTGTCTGGGTGCACTCGTTTGTGAACTACTTATCTAATGGTCAGATTGTAGAGCATGAGCTTTGCCAGGGAAGCCCCGTAATTAACCTCATTTATAAAACATACTGAGCAGATACATTGGGCAAAGGACTGCATCATCATGCTGGGGTGTATCAACAATTTTCTCTGGACATTATATTTTTTCAAGTATGAAAACTCTCAAAAAGCTCATTTTGATTGGCAAATCATTTCAATACATCATCACATAACTTTTCTCAGTGTAGACTTGTGCACTTTTTTCAACACAACTCCATCATTAAACCAGTTAATAATCATTAGGTTATGTTAACCGATGCTAACAGTTACTGTGTGTGCATCTGGCAGGATCTGGCGATTGACCCTCGGAGCAGAGCTTACACTCCTGCAGCAGCAGCTACAACCCATACAGTCCAATCTAGTGTATTTGAAGGAGCTGGCAGTTCAGTGTGCTGAGATGCCACCAACACATTTGAAAGTATGTCTTTACTACACGTCACTCCATCCTGGGTACATTATAGGTATTGAATAAAGTACTCTGTTGGTATCTGTATCACTTTCAGAGTATCAGGACCCTGAAACTGAAGCAGCTAAATGGAATTCAGATGTCATTTACTGTATTATTTACACCTGTGATTTTCCAAATGTGGTGTATCAAAATGTACCTAATGAAAAAAGGCCAATCCAGACCATAATCATCCTGTCCAACAGCTGTCCCCTGCTCTTAACTCATTCATCAGTCATATAATCAGCCACAGCTCATATTGCCCTTCTCACACCAGTCCTTATATAGATTGGCAATAGCACTGCAAACCCAGGTTGCATTTAAGACAGACTGCATAGGCTCTTAGGATCCATCTCCAGTGACCACTTGTGATCAGATTTCTCTGCCCAGCTCAAATATGTGTTAGCGCACCATCTATAGCTATAGCAAAGTAAACAAATGACCTCCCTCACTGACCTCTTACAGAAAGCTCTGGTACGATTTACAAACCTGGCAGAAAAAAGTGCTGCAAATGTTCAGGCAAACTAGTGTGTGCCTCAATTTCACAATCTATTTCAAAATGACAAGGAAACTGTGCACAATCAGTACAGGGTGAGCAGAACAGTGTGACTGCCTGAAAGTACCAGTGTGCCAAAAGAAACACACACACTTTACTTATCACCACCCACAGAAAAATCTACATGTACAAAGCCAACAGTGGGCCATATCTACAGTATCTTGGCAACCAGCAGGTAAGCTATTAGATCATGTTATTCCATCATAGTTTTGGCTGCCCTGCTTTTGTTTGTTTTTGTATTAAATTGTACAGTTCAGTGACAAAAACTGAGCTGCAGCCATTTGCTTTGTCGCACTACCAGTGTGCCTTTACAGGTTTTGTTATTAAAACGAATTGTATATTGTTGCAGCCAGGGTCACACAAGTTCATTGAAAAGTCTTAAATTTCAACCTGCACTGAGTTTAGGCATGCTCTCATCCTCCATCTTCTGTGGGGGCCAACTGGGGCCAATTGGCCAAAACACCCGGCTGGTCAGGACCACCATGGGAGCCCGGTTCCTCACTCTTCTTAACGAAGAGCCATTAACAATCAAAGTCTTAACGGCCCTGCAGCTTAACGAGGGGACTTAACGAGCTTCTTAATGAAGCCCCGGCCATCATTACCACAGTGAGCGGTGGCAGAGCTGATTGAAAGCACCGCTCAGAGTCATTCTGGAGCAGGAGAGCCCAGCCGAAGGAAACCAAATCCATTTAAAGCTGACCCCTCACCCTTATCTGTTCCTCCTAGATTAATAGGAAAGTATAATAAGGAAAACGCACTTAACCAGATATAATGGCTATGGATATTTTATGGCAGAGCCTTGGAATATCTTTCAGCCACCTGTCAGTGTGCAAGAATATCCAAACAATATTATAACAACAACTGGGTATCACCATCTTTCACATCCGCTTAACTTGAATAATATGACATCTCATAACTCCTGCGTTTCATATCCCCCTGATATACCATCAAATATATCAAGAGCCAAACAATATGAAGCCACTGGCCACAAAAGCCAAATTTACTGATGTGTCACCTCTGCTTGGAGAGTGATTTCAGTCTGATAAGCTGCCATTTCCATTTTCCCTGGCACCAGTTGTGTATGCAACACCCAGCCTCCCCAGACTCCTAAATCTCTTCAATTACTTATATTATCATAAGGTAATATGCTTATACTCATATACTCAATTTCACATTTTTGCAATAACCATAAATCACGAAACGAGGAGGAAAAGTACTCTGCCAACCTCTAAATCACTTAAATAACTAATACCCCATATACACAATTTCACATTTCTGCTGCACAATAAATCATAAAAACACCAGGAAAATGTGTTTTTTTCCACTGCCATGCATTAGCCTAATGAATGTGGATGTTTTCCCCCCACAAATTCAGTGTGTGTATGTGGTCGCTGTGCTTGTGTGAGGCGGAGAGG